AAAGGTGCCCCTCAGGGACATTCTTTCTTCAAAAGTGAACCAGGCTGTAGCTGGAAGTCCTCCACAGTTTCTTTCCCCAGAGATTGTGTTGAGGCTGGAGTGTCTGCCTTACAAACGTGCAGAGAGAATAGATATGGACCTTCAGGTACAGGTTGACCCTTTGAGTTTGCTACATGAATGCCGCTGTAAGTGTTGCAGAGGAGGGCAAAGGAGCAAGGAAGAGGAAAAGAGAGCTTCGTTCTCTGTGGCAGCATAGCTAAACTGTACCTCAGTTTCTCATTTTCTGATTGCCCATAAACCAAGGACAAATATATATATCCAAGGTATATATATATATATATATATATATATATATATATATATCTTGGATAGATTGACAGATAATAGGTAGAAGGTAGATAATAGTTGGTAGATAGATGCTAGAAGGTAGATGATAAGGAAACGATGCGTGGCTCTTCCTCTACTTACAATGGCGTTGCTTTCCAGGAAACTAAGAGTAAGTTGAGAATACTCTAAATGGAAATTGCATTTAACACACCTAATTTATATACCAGTTTAAGCTGGTCTCTTCACAGGTGCTCAGAATGCTTATACACATCAACAGTTGGTTTGAACCACTGAACACAAAGTTGATTTTGTACAATGTGGTTGAGTATCTCATGTGGTTATTGGTTGTATATAGGGTCTGAGAAGAGGAATGCTAACTGAATTCTCACCATCAGCACACAGCTGAAAAAGCAGTGGGCTCAAAGAATGTGGAGGCTCATGTGGTGTGGCTGACTGGGAGCTGAGACTTTTTGCTGCAGCCTTGCTCCATTATTGTCAGAGAGGGCGTTGTTTAGAAAAACACCGAACTTCGAAAGTCCATGTATGGCTTCTACTGAGTGTGTAGTACGCATTGATTTTACCCCAGTATGAAGTCAAAAGACATGGAAATCACAAATCTATAACTTACAAGAGAGGGGTGGGCAGAGAAAAGGAGGAGGAAGAAGGGGTGGAGAGGAGGAGGTTTAATTTCTGAGAAAGTTCTAGGAAAATTTCATAAGACAGTTTTGAAGATGAAGAATATTAAATCTGAAGACCTAGATGTGGGACTTGATTTAAGTCCCTATAGAATTAGCAGGTCTGGGTTTCTCCCTCTTTCAAAGAGCCATCTGTCTTGCAGAGTGGCAAGAGAAACTGAGCTATGCATGTGCTAACACGCTGTAAAATAATTTGCTATTGTTGATGGAAAAATCTGATATTTTAGGCGAGAAAATAGGCCTTGTGGCAAATCTTCTGTCCAGATCACTTGACTGAGAGCCTGAAAGCCAATCTAAGACAGGGCACCATGTGACATTGGGCAACTGTGGCAGCCTGGGGAGTCAGCCCGCAAGGCCACAGAGGTCTGAAAGCTGGTGATAAAGAGCAAGGTGGACTCTGCCTGTCCTCCATGGTTGGAGCAGGCAGCATCAGTCAGGAGGAAGGATGCTGCGAGGGATGCTTAATTGCACCCAATTGTAATTATGGGCAGACACTAAAACAGCAGTTCTCTGATGGCCATACAGGAACTTCTCAAATGCTAGGGTTATAGATCTTTATACCAAGATAGAATTCATATATGGTGAAATCCTCCCCTTGAGAGTGGCTACTCTTTGGTTTTCAGTATACGTATCTATCACTCCAGCTCACCCGTTGAGCTTGAAATGGCTATGTCAATTGTCAGGAATATGAATCAGCTGGTTCAGGGGAAGACACTGCTCATTCTTTTTTTTTTTGTGGGGGGGTCATATCTGAGTAGAGCCTGGAATGACAGGTGTTGGTGAGATGTGGGTACATGGGCGAAGAAACGTTCAGATGGAAGATCCAGTACAAAATCTAGAGGCAGAAACACAGCTTTGTGTCTAAGGAAAAAAAGAAGACCGGAGAGGACAGGTGCAGGGGTCCAGAAGAGGAGATGTTTTTAGCAGGGATAGCAGGGATGATGGAGAGATTTTCCTGATGCTGTGCCCAGCACACAGTAGGTGCTCAGTACACAAGACTTGTGGAGGTTACAGCTTCCATTGCTGTTCACACGTTGTTTTCTAGGGAGCAGACACTGGTCCGCTTTGCCTCACTCCAAAGACAAGTCCAGAAAGCTATTAAACACCCAGTAAGGGAATGAAATGGTCTTCAGCCTTTAAATTAATGACCTTCGCCAGCAACAAGAATAGACAGGGATAAATGCCCAGATGGGCTGATAAACCACAAAGACAAATTAATATTGTTTAATAGTTAAGTGTTCTATGAGAGGGATATTAGTTTCTATAAGACTCTCAGTGTTTCTATTCCTATGAGAGGTGAGGGTAGGATGAAGATGCCCCCACTGCTTTTAAAGAAAAAGGCCTCTTATTGAAGGCAGCTCTCTGATGGGATTTCCTTATAATTGGGTGAGGGGGTGTCTAGGTCAAAGCGACAGCCAACGTGTGCTGCTATTACAACACATTACAAAAATAGCTCTGCTTAATTGCTACCATCCATCAACGTGGGGGCATCCGTGGTGAGAGATGCCGCCAATTTCTTGAAATGAAAACCAAAGCTCTAGTAGCCGATATAGCCGCACTCTCTAATCAATGCCAGTTCTTTCTTTTTCTTTTAGAAAGGAAGGTTAAATTGATCTAAGCATCATCTCAGCCTTGAGAAGGATTCCCATATCTTCGCTTCCTTTGGGTTTGTAAGATTGCTTGTCCAGTGCTTATTTAAATTGTGTTGTTGCTTAATTTACATGAATCTGTCTCTTTCCCCCTACATTCCTCTCTCCTTCCCCCTTCTCACCTTCATGGCTCCCTCACCTCCTTTTTCTTCTGTTTTTATTCTCTCCTCCCCTCTCCCCCGAGTATTAATTTTTGCTCTGTAGTCCCCGCTGCTGTAACATGAAGCCTTTGTTGAGAGGGCTCAGTCTGTTTAGCATCCCGATGGGTTTAGGTTAATCTGACCATTGGGAAGAACAGGACAGAACATCTCAGCACATCCGGGAATTCCAGGCTTTTGGCGTCTCTGACTTTACGGGTCGGGTTAACCTGATAGTTTCTCAATTCCTCCTTTCACTCCGGGTTGGCAGGAGATCAACCCCAACTTCATAGACCAACCAACCAAGCACACAGACAGGGACAAGTATGTCAGACACACGGCACGCAAAAGCGGGAGATCTTTTAATGGTCCCGGGGTTGCTCTTGAACTGGGTCATCGTGAGACCCTGGGATGTGAGCCCAGGAACACCAGGGGCAGTACCTGCCTCTTCTCACCAGGAAAATCTTAAGAAATGGATATTGAACTCTAAGGACACATTTGTGTTGGTTGAAAATGAAAGTGAACAAGAAGCCCCGTAACTCATTTGAGCAAAGTTGTATGTGTAGTCAACACTTCACTGCAAACGGCTAGGATAAAGGAGCCTTGCTGATCTCCCATGAAAATGGATGTTAGGGTCTTCTCGGGGGTGGTGATGGTTGGGAGGTAGTGTATTAAATAGATCCAAGTTACAGACAGTCAAGAATTATGACACAGTCTACTTTTCCACAACGGAGCACACCACTTCCATTAAACACCAACAAAACCCAAATAGGCCGTTCATAGGATGGCTCCCTTTGACCAGAGCCCTTTCTCAGCATGCCGTGGGACACTCTGAGTTTCCCTGTGCCTCTTGTTCCATGCTCTGTCTGAGTCTGCCAGCGATGTTTGTTTAAATGAATGCTCCGTGTTGCTCAGAATGTTATAGCCTATTATATTAGTCAGAAGTCCTTTTGTGGATAATTAGTAGGAAATGAAAGGATTGAAGGGTGATTTGGGGTTTCTAAAACTCCTTAGAAGTTGTTTAAGAGGGAAAAATAAGTAAGTCTTGCTAAATACCCCCAAGCCAAGTGCCATTGTTCTTTTTCATGGAAAATTGCTACTTAGAAAAACCCTATAAAATGTGTCATGCCTTTGTGTCAACGGACACTGTGCTTTTAAATGTTCCTTAGCAAAATAAGATCTCGCCAGTGGGGCTTCTACCTCACATAGGTGCCAGGCGTTAAAGGGATAGTCAGGTAGATCTCTCTGAGCAACAGCAGATGTTTAATATTTAATAAATAAACACTGAAGTTTACTATTGGAATAGCTGCTATTCCCCTTGAAACTGTATTCCTTCAACCCTTATCACAAGTCTATAAAGAAACTTAGGAGGTAGAAAGTGACTTTCCCAGGTTCTTTTGATGGCCTGGGCCTGTTTATGCGAGTACTCAGCAGGTCGAGGCAGGAAAATAGAGAGTTTGAATCCCATTTGGGTCACACAAGGATCCCTTTTCTCAAAACAAAACTCTAAACAGATATCTTATACACAGCAAATGGGATCTTGGGTCTTTCCTGGCTGGTCCACTTTCCACTTGAGGAGGAGTGAGGGGACCATTCCCTCCTGGATTTCATTCTGTCTCCGTGGTTGCTCCTTTGATTTGTGTCTCAGGAGTGGGCATCACTGTTTGCCCAGTATAGACTTAAGCAGGAAGAACACATGAGCAGCAGTGGGGGGTGAGGCTTGGGGTACCAACTGGGAGTTGTGCTTGCAGGTCTGCCAGTCATCAGTGAGAGCAGCTGGTGAAGGCTGGAGTCACAGGTGTCAGGGGCCACGGATCTTGGAGACTGAAATCATCGCAGGAAAGGAATTTTTGTGCAGCCCAGCTGCGTGTGACGTCTTGGAGGCCTAGGTAGATAAAGTCCTAACCCTGACCTGAGTGAACACCCTACCTGAGCTTCAGGTGCAGGGAGCCTGCTGGTGTCTTCCTGCTCTGATGAGCTAGTTGGCTGAGAGGCAGGCTCTAAAGTCTTCCTCTGCTGGCTCTTTCAGAAGCTCTGGCTCTGAAGCCTCAAATTTTAAGTCACTTGGTGCCGGCTAGAACCTGATAGACTGAATATGCAAATAAGGTGAAGAAATAGGCCAATCAAGGAAGAGCGACAACCTTTTTCCCAAATGTGAGGGGAGGGAAGGACTCCCACCCCGGAGTCTGCAGTTGCCAGAAGTCAATGCTAAGTTCCTCCACTCTCTTGTCTCCACAGAGGTATGTGTGTGCGTGCGTGAGTGCGTGCATAAACCGTGGAGAAGTGTCTGTCTGGTCCTGGTTGCCAGGGGGCTTTTCCAGGCAGCCCGCTACTTCTCCTTCTGCTTCCTTCAGTCAGGGTTTTCTACCTGAGGTGGATTTTCTTTTGCTGTTTTCTTTTCAGCAGCTTCTGCCTGTTGTCTTTGGCTCCATTGCTCTCAGTTTTGACAATGCTCTCAGGATGTGTGTGGGAGGTGGGTAGGCCAGGGGGTGGGTAAGCATCTACTTTCAACACAATCCATGTCAGAAGAAGTCAAACTCTTTGCACTTTGCCATTTGGGGCTCTTAGTGACCTGGTCCAAACCAGCGACCTTTTCCTTTCCCTGTATTGCAACTGCGTGATCTAAGTCCTGAACTCCAAGTGTGCTGTCCTGGCCACGGCAGTCACTGTCTTTGTGGAAACAGCTCACCTCCTGGACCCTGCTCATGTCTTACCATTTCCAAACAAAGACATTTAATAAGTCTACTTTAAAAAGATTCATCTTAAATTGTGTGCACATGGTGCACGCGTGTGCGTGCGTGTGCGAGTGAACTCATGCTCATATAGGTATGTGCATGTGACTTCAGGTGCCTGTGAAGGTCAGAAGAGGGTGTCTGATCCCCTGGAATGGAAGTGACAGATGCTTGTGAGCCATCAGTACCTCAGGTCCTCTGAAAGAACAGGAAGTTCCTTTCTTTCCAGTCCCCCATGAACCAACTTTTAAGGGCTGTCATAAACGCTGTCAGTCCCTAGAAAATGTCCACCTCAGGAAAGGCATTTCTCACAGTTGCAGCCAGCGCTAGGGCACTTTCTTCTACACACTTACTGGTCCGTTTATTTTCATATACGACGAGATCACTGAAACGCGAGACTAGGCCCTGGAACCCCTGCTCCTGGCACTAAGACACTCCAGAGTTTCCTTTAAGTTGCTTCTGGCACTATGTAAGTTTTATTTCAGTAGCTGGACTCTTGGTGTCCTGACTGCCAAAGGACAGTTCTCAAAGTATGTCAGAATGTCGACAGTAAGTCAGCCAAACTTGATTTTTCTAGAGCAGCAAGAGGATAAATCAGAGAAGTGGTAGTGGATTTGGGATTCTGGCCCTTCGTGGATCTTGAATTTTCATGGACCTGGGGCTCTGGCAGAGTGGCAGGAGGAAGAGGGGGCTAATATGACGCAGGCTGCCAAAACTGGTGTGGGGCAGAGAAGTTCAGTCAGTGTCCTTAGCCTTCTCACACGGGCAAAGGGTAAAGCCTGGGATTGGATATTCCAGTTCTGTGTCCTTGTTGCCTTTGGGAAAATCTTTTATGTCGTTTTGTGCTTTGAGTTAATTTGACTCCCAGGTTTATTGTGATAGTGACCCTTAAGAACTTGAACTGTGGCCTTTCCCTGTTGAGAGACTGAAGACACTGAAGATAACAAGTGGGTTTGGTAAACTGGCTATAGCAAGATCAGATGCTGTTTTTCACAGCAGACTGAAGCAATGTTTGGTCAGCTTCACTCAAAACAGCACAAAGTTGGAAGCTACCCAATGCCTATCAGCGGGAAAACAAATTGCTGTCTCTTCATAAAAGGGAACACTACTCAATTATGAAAAGGATAAACTACCAGGGTATGAAACAACAAGGGTTAATATAAAAGAATAAAAACCTCAATCAATAAACCAAAAGGCTCATCATATATAATTGCCCTTTCCATCTCAGTGCTGAAGCTGAGATCCTGGGCACTGAACACACAAGGTAAAGGGCTCTACCACTAAGATACAACACAGAGCAGGGATTTTGATGAAAAGAGCAATAAAAATAAATAAATAAACAAAAAACCCCAAAAACTTCCCAATAGTTCTAGTGGCTAACTAGTAGAAGACTATGTTCATAGGAAGAATAAATTGAGTTTTTAATTTCAATTTAGGATAATATTTACTTACAAAGATAATAGAGTTCTTGGCCCAAATACTTTTACAGTATGTTCCTGCTACTAACCATGCAGGAACTGGAGGGAGCTGATAAGAAAGAAAGACAACTAGGAGTAGTGAGTCATCCATTCCTTTCTACTTGCCCATCTTGGGGCAGATAGGTATCTGTGCATACATGTGTCCCATAGCTATTGAGAGCTTACTGGGTGCTCAGTAGTGCTAGAGGCTGCTTATGATGGATGGGTTCTTACACCCATCCAGGATGGTTGTATGCTCGCTGACATACAAAGGGATGGAGCAGAGAGCTGAGTGTCCGCACAGGACATTGTTGTAAAAAGCAAAGGGAAGAAAGATGTGGGTCAAAGCTACGTAGTTTTGAACAAAGATGTACCTGTCAAGCAATCCTAGGGAAAGTATAAGATGGGTAATGAGAGGGCCCCATGACTTCTTAGCAAGCGCTTTCTGAAAAGTATATGCAGCTCCTAAAGGGGTGGGGACCTTGGACCCGGCCTTCTGGTGAGGTGGTGTCATTGACTAGGTTGTCAAGGGATCAGATCAAATGACTTCTTAACAACTGCAATGGAGAATGGAGGTGGGAGGGGAGAGGCTTGGAGAATTGAAATCAAATTGAGAAGAGGGAAGGAAGAAGGGAATTAAGATCTGTTTTCTGTTTTCAGTGTTTTCAGTGTCTGAAGGATTTCTAGAAGCTTGGCTCAGTCCACAAACATTTTGTCATTCCAGTCAGCAACGGGTGCTGATTTTCAGCTTCTTCCTGTCATATAGCAAAGGGACTTGTTCCTTAAAATGCCCCCAAGAATGTTGCAATGCGCTCAAATCAGAAACACTTTTATTTTTAGTGACTTTCACCCCTTCCTGGTGCAGGGGACTTCTTGTATCTGACAAAGGCAATGTGTAAATGGAGCGCCCAGCTGATCTCTTGACCCTGGAGAGGGCAGCTGCCTGTGACCTAGGTGGTGGGTGGGCTCTTCTTCCTGAGAGCAGGGTGCCCACTCCCATTTTTTATCTGCTCTTGTAAACTTCTGCAGAAAGCCTTAGCTGTTGTGAACTTTTAGATGATGAAAGTCACACTTGGTCACTTCTGCATTCCTGCTCAGCCTCACACGCGTTCACGTCTTTCATTTTAAAATCATTTTTCTTTATTCTTGTGAATTTAACACATGTATAAATGAAATACGATAGTCTGTATGGCTTATTTTCCCATTCCAACCCCCCCTCCCAATACATCTTCCTCCCAACTTCACCCTTTCTTTCTTTCTTTCTTTCTTTCTTTCTTTCTTTCTTTCTTTCCTTCCTTCCTTCCTTCCTTCCTTCCTTCCTTCTTTCTTTCTTTCTTTCTTTCTTTCTTTCTTTCTTTCTTTCCTTTCTTCTTCCTTCCTTCCTATCTATCTATCTATCTATCTATCTATCTATCTATCTATCTATCTATGATCTATCATCTATCATCTATCTATCTATCGATCGATCGATCTATCATCTATCTATCTATCGATCTATCATCTATCTATCTATCTATCTTCTATCTATGATATCTATCTATCTATCTATGATCTATATCTATCTATCTATCCATCATCTATCTATCTATCTATCTATCTATCTATCTATCTATCTATCTGTCTGTCTTCCTCCTCCATCATCACCCTCCTCCTCCTCCTTTGATACCCCACTAATTCTGATTAATGCTGCTCATGATTGTAGGGCCATCCACTGGAGCATGGGAAATCTACCAGTGGCCACTCCCTCAAAAAAAGATTCTCCTTCCCACAGCAGCTGTTAACACCTCCTGAGACATAGGTGGGGCCTGGAGAGCAGCTCCTCCATCTCTGCTGGGACTTTGGCTGGCTTGATCTTGTGTGGTTCTCACGGTGATCAGCACAGTTGTTGAGTTCATGTGTGAGATGGCCATGTCATATCCAGAAGACAGCTTTTTACAGCATCCCTCCGTCCTCTGACTCACACGTTTATTCTGCCTCCTCTTTCATAATATTACCTATGCCTTGTGGTGCGTGGGTTCGTAAAAATGTCCTAGTGTGACTGAGAAATTAATTTCTTATTGTCAATGTTTAATCAGTTATGCTTTTCTGTGTTTACCACTTCCCATGATAGAAATAACTTTCTTTGACCAGGTTTGAGAGAAGCCTAATTATATGCATTTAAACATAAATAAAGAGAAGAAAATATGACCACTTGATAAACTAATAAATCTATCTTACATGTGAGGTCCTGATTTCAACACCAGGCATGAAATGTTCTTCTGTGGACCAGGTCTCGAGTCCAGTCAGAAAGTCCTTATTTACCATACAACAGCTGTGCCACTGTTGGACCAGGGGGCACATTTTGCCTGGTTAGTATTGTGGCCTGTGAGGCCCCCCACAGACTGGATAGTGCTTTCTCGTACCAACACATTCAGATTTTCATAAACCCCGTATGCATATGGCCTATAGCCAACCTAGATGAATTCAGCCAACTCTAGGTAAAGAATATCTAGAGTGGGGAAAAATGTTTAGCTCAATTAAAAATAATAAAGTATAAAGTAAAAAATAGAAAATAAGAATATTCAAAAAATTGCATTATATTGAGCATATAGACAGCTTTTTTTTTTTTTTTTTGGTAATTGTTTCCCAGGGCGTGGAATGACGTCATATGGCATGTTTACACTACACCAGCTGTTGAAAGTAAAGAAGACAAGAACTGAAAAGAGAGCAAGGATGATTCAGAGGGAGGAAAGGGAAAGGAGAAATGATATAATTCTATTGTCATCTCAAAAATCAAAGAAATGGGAAAAAGTAATCTAGAGGTGATTTAAAAAATATGGATGGATGTGTGCAGGTTGTTTGCAAATACGGTGGCATTGTATACAAAGAATTGAGCATCCATGGATAGCTGGATGTCTTCACCCAGACACAGAGATTATTGGGTGTGATTTAAGCAGAGTTAAAGATCTGGGTTCTCCTGGGATTGCAAGTGCTCCTCATAGGTGCTGCTGTATTTGTCTAAAGGGGAACCGTCATGGAAGTCCAGTTCACTGAAATTTCTCAGCCCCCAGTCTCTGCTCACAATATCTAGGTTTACGTTCATTGCTTTAACTTCATTCTCCAGCCCCCCAAAATCCACATGATAATGAATTTTCATGGTCAGCTTGACTGGATTTAAAATCATCTGAGCAGTGCACCTCTGGACATGTTTGTGAAATCTTTATCTGAGAGGTTTTACTTGAGGAGGAGAAAGCCCATCCCGAATGCGGGGAGCACCAGCCCCTTGGATGGAGTTTCAGATGGAATACGAGGGAGAAAGTAACTTCAATATTAGCATCCACTGCCCACCATGGCACACTGCACACTGTCTGCCCCTCCATGGCACACTGCACACTGTCTGCCCCACTATAGCACACTGCACACCACTCAACCCCATCAGTCCTCAGACTGCCTGTGTATCATACAGCTCTTTGTTTCCTAAAAACTGCCTCCCTCTCTCCTGTCTTTCCCTTCCCTCCCTTCTTTTCCTTCTCCCCTTTTCTCTGTGGTTCAGGCTGACCTCAAACTGATGGCAGCCTCTCCCGAGTACTGGGATTATAGGTTCAGTTTCTTTCCTCTTTCTTATTGTGTGCTGCATAAATGAACCTTCTGGAAGCTCTGGGGATGAAAGAGTTCAGTGGTATTTGATACAGTATCTGATCTGCTAGATCCAGTTCTGCCTCAAGAAGAGGCAGAAAAAGAAAACGAAAACGAAAAAGAAAAAGAAAAAGAAAAAGAAAAAGAAAAAGAAAAAGAACTCAACCCGGGGAGACTCACCATCCGCTTTACTGAAAGCCGATGAAGCTGATGCAGTGTGAACTATGGGAAGTTCATAGGCCAGAAATTCTGAATCTGTTTCAGAGAGCATCCGACTAGTTCCCCTTGGTCTTTGCAGACTGGAAGATAGCCTCATGTGTAGAAAGTCCCTCAGGGGCAGCTCCTGCACCAGCACCCTACTGATTTGAAGCCCATGGAGTGCCATCGTCTGTTTCCAAGTTTCAGATTGCTTTGATAAAAACATGGGCCTTCGAGTCTGCCTTGTCCCTTGTTACTACGTGTCTTAGTTACTAATTTTTATTGCTGTGATGAAAATCCATGACGAAGGCAGCTTATGAGAGAAAGTGTTTAATTTGGGCTTATGGTTTGGTTTCAGAGGGTGAGGGCCCATGGCCATTACAATGAGGGGCATGGCACAGGTTAAGAGCTTACATCTTGATCCACAGGCACAATGGAGTGGGGGAGGGAGGGAAGGAAGGAGGGAGGGGGAGAGAGAGGGAGAGAGGGAGAGAGGGAGAGAGACTGGGAATGTAATGGGCCTTTGAAACCTCAAAGCAGGTCCCCAGTGACACACTTCTTATTGAGGTCACACCTCTTAATCTTTCCCAAACAGTTCTATCAAATAGGGACAAGCATTCATACATATGAGCCCATGGGGACCGTTCTCATTCATACCACCACACCAGGCACTGGAATGCTTCTTTTCTAAAGCTTTCACTACAACCTATAGATTGAATATAAGAAGAAAACAGTAAAGAACAAAAGCCATTGAGATAATTTGCTTCTCATTTGGTGTCTTCTGTGACCATCTTAAACTTGCTAAAACGTGGAGGGCTCCAGGGAAGATGAACTTTCCATGAACTATGTGGTCAGGCTACGGAATCAGGGATATACATAACTTTGTCAGTAATTACTCCACCAAATTAAGCCAAATATTATTGTTTATTGCCCTGTAAGATATGAATCCAGTTTTATAGCCAGTCTGCAATATTAGTCTAAATTTTAAAAAATCAAACACTCACAACCATCTAGCTCCTTGGTCTTACTCTACCTTGGTTTTAGCATTTAATTAATAGAAGAAGGATAAAATTCTAGATACTTGCTTGTTTTTGCTTTTTTTTTGTATTTGAAAGAAAGTTATGTTTATAACTTTTTGAAGAGTGTGTTTTAATATCAGCGTTTGGGAGACACATATCCCTCCTTCCAAAGGAGGAAGGGAATGGGCATTTCTGATTTTTCTAGCCAAACTTAGCCTCTTCCCATTGATGGGAACAATTTCTCTGCTTTGTCATACCAGCCCTGGTCTCACCAGGCATCACTATCTCCTTTATTCATATTGCACTTTGCAAATAAGTTATAACATCATTGAGTCACTTCATGGTATCTAAATACACAATAGAATTACCTCGTGGTAATGAATGGGGACCCTGACCAAGTCTCTATCCCAAAACTGCATCTTCCTTTATCCTTATACTCCCTCAAATTCCTAAAGGCCCAGGCAGGCATTGGTGTAGATTTTAAATGGATGTCTGAAGGATAGGTCGAAGGATGGACAGACTGGACAAGGGAAAAACGTCAAGAGTCTAATCTGCTTCCTTGGAGAGTCTAACGTGCATATGGTAATTAATGCTAAGCAGAGTTACATTTATGTAGGTCATAGCGTACATTCCAAATTCACCCACTCTCCCATTCCTTTTGCCTGGAGTCAAGGGTATATTTCTGATCCCGTCATTGTATACGTGTGTTGTTTGCCTTCTCACAGGATGACTGTTTGATGGCTGACGATTGTTTAGATAACTTGAACTAAGCAGCTCTGCACTTGGGATTTGGGACTTTGGAGCTATGTACTTTGGAATAGGATATGGTATTATTTCAAACACAACACAAGCCAAATATCATTACTAGCATGTCTCACGAGGAACCAGATGTTGCCAGCGCTTAGTTTACTTAATTCAAATAATCTTCGACCCAAAATTATACTTTGTGTAGCATGCTTTGGAGAGAATTTTAGTATTTGTTATTATAGGATTAACTTGTTATATTAATTATTGCTAAGAGTCTTGGGGAATTTCCTGATGTTCACAGCCGAGAGAAGGAATTGTTGTTCCTGTATGTCTATCTTTTCCTTCGTTCAGTGGAAAAGTTAGTTTGTGGAGCACCCCTGGGTGAGGAACACTCCCTGACTCATCTCGAACACCAACACAGTACCCGGCACTAGGTAGCATTCAGAGAAGGTTTGCTGTAAGGCTGGGAAGCAAGCGCGGCTTGCGAGTTCTAGATAAGGCCTCAGCGCTGGTCAGTGGTCATTTAAGAGGAGGATTAATATTGGATTCTTACAGAGAAATTAAACACACATTAGGATTTCATTTAACTTATTAATTTGAGAGCCAGGCAGCTGTTCTAAGTAGGTCAAAGAAGAGTCCGGAGAACTGGCATATGGACAGATGAGAAATATTGAAATGAATATGCAAATAAAAGCAAAACCAGCCTTCTCCACAGCAGAAGAGGACTCAGTTGAGGCTTTGTGGGTCAGACAGAATTTGCACTTTTTTACACAAGACATGTTGTACATGGCTGTCAGCTCTCTGGGCGCTCCAGCCTTGTGAAAAGACTCAGATTGAAACAGGTAACCTGGAAGGCGGGTGTTACACAGTGCAGACTTACTCATTAGGGCACGAAATTTCCCCTGCTGTTCACACCTGGGCTGTGCTTTGCAAGGGAGGAGGAGTCTGCTTTGAGACAGCAGCCCCTGCAAAGGCCTTGAGCCATGAAGCGTCCCTGTTGCTTTTAGTAAGGGGAAGGAGGATGCTAGAAAGAGGGAGTGGGCAGGTGGGTAGGACCCAGGTCATCAGAGTTCTGTAAGTCAAGGTAAGAAATTTGGATTGGAGGCAAACTCTATTGCATTATCCAACCCTTACAAAAGTATACTTTGGGGTCAGGCATCTCGTGGCTCATGAGCACAATCTCAGTCCTGGGAAGGGAAGCAGGAGGATTGCTGTGAACTGAAGATTGGCCTGGATTATGGAAACCTTGCTTCAAACACACACACACACACACACACACACACACACACACACCCCACACTATTCCCCAAATAACACTTTAAGTACTTGATCCCAAATTGTGTGCTTGCTTAAAATGATTCACATACGACCTTATTGTGATCCCAGAACAACTCTAGAGGCAGCCCTGCAGTTGGGAAGATAAACAGAGAAGCATAGGAAAATCACAAGAGCTGCCCCAGCGCTGGGGTTTAGTGGACTGCTGCCCTGTATTTGCATTGTTTGCGGTGAAGTCTATTGTCTGGGTTGCATGTTTTTCTGCAGGACACAGTGTTTGCAATTTAGCAGAGTGCTTCCTCCCTGCAGTCTTGGTGGGAAACCCCTGAGGAGTCTCATCACTCTTCTTTTACAGATGCAGAAACTCGGATTTACAATAACTGAATGGCTTGAGTCCTGACATCAGAAGCCCTGTGGTTGGCACCCTGCTGGGTGGATCATGCCCCCAAGGTAAGACCAGAGAAACACTGGCTGTTCTATGTACCTTGGTCACTCAGTTCTCTCTGCTCTGCCATTTTGGAGGCTAATGCTGAAGCAGCCTTTGAAGAACAGGAAGTCTTGATGCCTGCTGGGAAGCACCAGGATGTCTGTTCTCACTCAAGAGGCAGGCAGAGGCAAGGGGAGGACCAAGAGGGCCAAGCACAGGTTCCTGGAGGCTCGAGAAACCTGGCGATACTGCCTAAAAGGAGTGGGATGTGGGCTGTTGGTAGTGTAGGAGATGTGGGCGACAAAGGAGGAGAGGCCGTTGTCTTCAGGAACCTTCTTGGGAAGGGGCCAGGTTTTTTTTCTATATGTCCTGTCCTCCGAACCACCTCTATTCATAATAAAAACCTTACTGTTTTAATTTTGTAAGATTTATTTTTATGTTTATGCACACGTGCATGTGTGTGTGTGTGCACGCGCACTTGTGTGTGCTTGCAACGTGTGCAGTTGAATGCACGCATTTGACTATAGCACCCAAGGAGAGCAAAAGCAGTATTTGGTCCTCTGGATGTGGAATAAGATGCCAGATCAGGATGCTGAGAACTGACCTTGGGTTCTTTGGAAGAGTGTACATATTTGTAATTGATGAGCCATCTCTCTAGCCCCAAATCTTACTTTGGTAAGATACAGGTAAGTTACAGATGGATATTATATGAAACTTTGAAATACGCTTTATCTCGGGGCTGGAGAGATAGTTCAGTACTCACTCTGTAAGCATGAAGACCTGAATTTGGTTCCAACACATGTGAAAAAACTGGGTATGGTCATGAATTGTGCGTTTATAATCCCAGTGCTGGGGAGGCAGAGACAGATGGTTCCCTAGGGCTCACTGTCCAGTCGGTTTCATCAAAGTAGTGACCTCGGGGCCAGTGAGAGACCTTGCCTTTTACAAAGAGGATGGACTGACACTAGAGACTGGCCTCTGGACTTCACACACATACGTAGCACACACATGTTTATACACACACACGTTTTAGCATCTTAAACATGGAATTTGCAATTCGAGGACGAGTGGGTGGCACAGAACCCTGGGACCCAGGATCATGAAGGACGTCAAGATGGTTTATACAATCAGTGTTCCACATGCCTATGTCGCCAGTTTACAGAGCAGTTTCTCACCACTGGTGAGATAGATTCAGTATGTGAGCGTCCGTGGGCTGGGTGCCTGACATGCGGCTGGGTTGGCTTACCTGAAACCTTCCATTGGAACAAGGTGACAGGCTCTCAGGTCTTGCTGAGTGAACACATGATGGTCGAGTGAAGGAGTCTTCAGGCACACCCTTGCCTGAGTCATGGGAGACTCTCAGAACTGCTCATAATAATGTTATCTCACCGTCGTCCATATGCTTGCTGGGGTGGGATTAGAATGAATTCTGATGAACTATTGTATTGAAACACGGGTTGTATTGTTGTAAATTGGTTATATTCTGGATCATGAGTGTGATGACTATTATTCCTTTAAAAACGGTGGCGGCGTGGCGTGGGTGTGTGGACAAACACAGGATAGACGCAAAAGGAAGAGACGGACACGCGGCTCCCACGTGGGTGCGTTTTAATGGGGAGAGGGGAACACAGTAAGGGGTGGGACGTGCGACACACAAGGGTAGGGGGGAAAAGGGCCAAGAGAGAGGCCAAGAGAGGGGCCAAGAGAGCGAAGCCTCGTGGACCTTCGCTTTTAACGGGGGGCGCAAGGTTATCTGGGAGGAATGGCCTTCACCTGGGCGTGGCCAGCACGCACACAGGTGATGGTAATCCAGGAGAAGTCTGGGAGCTGTAGTTTCCAAGGAATAACAATGACGTCTTTATTGACTGGGCTTTGTCTGAGTTTAAGAATAGCTCAGTTATCTGTCTTTGGGCTAGATTACTCTCCCACTGCCTCTTTGGATTTAACCAATTAGCTTTACTTTTTGAAACAATCTCATGTATCTGAGGCTAGCCTTGACCTCATTATATAGCCTTAAATAGCTTTGACCTCCAGATCCTCCTGCCTCTATTTCCTGAGCGCTGGAATTGTCTGCGTGGCATCATGCCTAAGTTCTCTTTGGAGTTAGAAGCACAATGAGGTTTAGAAACACGGGGCTTGCTCCAAGCTTCACTAGCTTGTGCCCATAGAGCACAAAGCAGAAGCGTCACCTTCCCACCGTAGCGAGATAAGCTTCTCTCTCTAAAAGGGGACATTTCTCTTTCTGTTCTCTAAATAGGCAGTTCTGGCTCTTTGGGGGCCACAGAGAAGCCAGTTCCGGATTCAGGGGAAGCAGGAGCAGGGCAGGCCAAACACAAGATGCAAGTTTCTGATGCTTGAACTTTTTCCTATAGTCTCCTTTTCTCCTCTTTCTCTGGGCGTGCAGCATCCTAGAGATCTCAGAAGAATTTAAGTTTGGACCACTCATCCAGTGAGAAACGAACAACACCAACAAGAACAAAATAAAGCAACTCGGCATTGCAAGCTGATTTAGTGCACAGTCGTGAAACAGCGTTGACTTGGTCAGCGCCTATGGTTGCTTTCCATGAACCTGGTCGTGTACCACCTTGGTCCCTTGAAGTAGATGTCCCAAGGATTCAGCGATAAGAATAAATGAAAGTGCAAGTCAATAAGAAGGAAAGCCCTCACTGTCCATCAAACAATGGTGACAAAACTGGTTCCAAGCTAAGTTCTGGACAAACTGGTTTTATAGGGAAATTCTGCGTGTGTTAGAGATGCTATAGAACGACCTAGAAGCATCCCTAAGCCAGTGCTTAGACATGCAGGGCAAAGCAGAAAGCATAGGACACCCCTGTTGGCTTGGCCCATCAGAAGTACCAAAAATCCTAGGGTCTTAGATCATCTTGGCCACTTGTCGTGAGAATGAGAGGTAGCGTGGTGGGGTAGGACCTGGGGTCTTCCAGCTCGGCCATTTCTTGTTTTGCATGTCCCACACACCTGAAGTTGGCTTGGTGGCCCTTGTTCTCTGAACACTGTCAGTGTCTGTTGAGAGCAGTGGTTCTAGGAGTGTGGAAGAGAGGAGGGCCTCTGCCTCCAAGGAGTTCTACCTGGAGTTGCTGTCCTTGTTAAAATGCAAGGGAAGAGTGAGGAATGAAAACAAAATCAAATTGTGCTTTGGTGAGACTTGAGGCAGAGATGTTTAATGAATATGAGGGATATTCTGTATTGTGTGCGTGTGTGTGCATGTGTTTAGAGGCCAGAGATATATTTCCTAATAGCTCGCCATCTTATGTTTTGGGACAGGGTCGCTCCTTGAATGTGAAGCTTGTTGATTGGCGAGACTGGCTGGCCAGTGAGCCCCAGTGATGGTCCTAGCTTTGCTTTCCTAGTGCTGAGATTGCAGGCGTGCACTGCTGTACTCAGCTTTTATGTGGGTACAGAAGATCTGAACTCAGGTCTTCACGCTTCTGCAGCAAGCACGTTACGTACTAAAGCCATCTCCCTCGCTTCCAGAAGCAGATTTCCATGTAGACAAAATGCTCCAGTTCTTTGAGTGAGGTTTTGGGATAAAAATCTGACACCAAAATTCTTTCCGTGTGCGACTAACAGCTAGCCAGACTGGAGCAAATGGAAGCCATTTCCATTTCAGCAACACTCTCCCCGTTTTTGATGGGGCGGTCAGCTCCCCAGCGTGTGGAGAGCTCCACTTTGTAGCCTCTTCCTCCCTCTTCTCTCCCATGCTGTTTTAGGACCACTTTGCTGGGCCTTCCTCCTTTTAGGAAGCTTCTAGAAGGAAACACGCCTGACTGTATTGATGGGAGATGCACCGGTCAGTCTGCCGTGTTCTTCTTCTTCCTGTTGCTTTAAACTCCTGGTGAGATGACAAAAGAGGATGCAGGGACCATTCTGGTATCACTTGCCCTCATTTCTTTCCTCTGGGCTGGCAGTGAGAGCAGGCCAGAAAAGACAGGGGCCTGGAACACTGTGTCTCTCACATCCAGAACTTGGAGCAGTCACAGAGAACGAAGCCTTGGGGCTGACCAATATGACAAAATAGGAATCCCATGACTTTTGATTGTCCCCATAAGGTCAGAGTCTATGCTCACTCACGGCACTCCAAGCTCACAGTCAGCTCAAAATATCTCCTTGCTCTGGGTTCTAATGGTAGATCCTGTGTCTGCCCTCCCCGTGACCCGTAGTCTCTTAGCTCCATGGAGGATGCCCGTATGTCTCCTACCCTCAACCACATTGATAGCCAGTGACTAACCCAGGCTCTGGCACCCCTGGGAAGCCAGCACACATTCCTAGGATGAATGATTGGAGATGCATCTAGTTTATAGTCTTTTGTTCTAGGACTTGAGGTCCTTAGTAACCTTTGAAAGTCCCCATTAAGCTATTTCAGGAAGACCATAAAACTTTGCATCATGCAAAGCTTAGCTTGGGTCCATTTGGGAAGACAGACAAAGTGTACAGCAGCAGGTGTGGAGGACCTTCAGGAGCGGGTGACAGCCCAATCGTGTTACAGACGGTGGCAGGGATGTCTAGGATTGTGGGGGGATGGTGGACAGGCTCAAAGAGGTGGCAGTGTGGCCGCTGAATGCTCAACAGCCATGCATGCATTTGGCGACCGCCCCCTCACTGTGAGAGACATGCTGGCATACTGATATGCTGGCACACTGCTGGCTCTGAACTGGGGACACAGCCCAGTGACAGGGTGCTTACTTAGCATGAATGGGGCCCTGAGTCCATTCCCCCAGCATTGCCAGCAATAAACAAACAAAAAGATTACTGGTTCAGACCTTGGCTTTGCCATGTCCTTATTGCCTGGGCTCTGGTGAGTCATTAAACCTGCCTGTGCCTCAGTTTTTTTTTTTTACCTGTACAATGGGACAATACCATTCTCTACCTCATTAATCTCTTAGAATTACTATAAAAGCCCTTAGAGTAGTACTTGAACTCATGAGCACTATAGAGCATTTTTTTTTCTTATCTCTATCTAAACACCCCATTTCAGTGCTGATTTCTGGGCTCTTCAGTCCCGGAG